AGTCAAATACATTAAATAAGTGTTTTCAATACTTGGTTTTTAAATTGGAAAACTTTGATTTTCAACATCGGCTTTCGGCGTTGACTAGCTAGCCATGGTTATGGAAAACCAGCCCAACAGCGATGTTGGACTTGCCAACAGCGCTCTCTGGTGTTCGCACCTAACAACCATGGTTTGGCACTAAATCCTTCAAAAGCGATGTTGGTTATAATACATCGCTGTTGAGCCAAGCCTGAAATTTCAATGTTTTTTGAACAGCGATGTAGGAGTCTCTACATCGATGTTCTGCTTAAGCTTTTAAAAAAATGAGTTTGGCATATTGTTTTTGAACAGCGATGATGGCCCAACAACATCGATGTTAGACCAAAATCTTCCTTGGATTGTTAAGCCTAAGCAGCGATGTTCACTTGTGAACATCGATGTTGGCATCTGACCGTTGGAAGATATTAAAGGCTAAAACTTCCATGTTTGGGGGTCAACACCCTGAACAGCGATGTTTCCTATCTCAACATCGACGTTGAGGTGACCTTTGAAGCTTCTAGTTTGAATGTTTAAGCCTCAACAGCGATGTTCAATACTTGAACAACGCTATTAGGCCTATTTTCAGTAGATCCTATTTTTCTACAATAAATTGGGGTGTTTGGGTCTGTTTTTCTCATCCAATTACTTCACAACTCATACTACTCATTGCATCCATTCTTATATTTTTTCATAGCTTTTTGAGAGCCATTCTTGTGAAGTTTTTGTTATGTTCTTGAGCATTGTTAGTTTACTCAACATCCACTCTAAAAGAGAGTATTGTTCTTGAGTGCATTTGTGTTTAAACACTTGTTAAGAGAAGGTGATTCTCTTGTTGGTTCGAAGGAAGGTTTGTTTCCTCCGAAGATTCGTTGAGGCTCGTGTGACTCGAACTCTCAAGTTGTACAGGTTTGTTAAGCATCGTTAAGATTAACGTTGATAGTGTAACTCGAGAGAGTCTCTCAGGAGGCTGGACGTAGCCACACGTTGTGGTGAACCAGGGTAAAATCGGTGTGTCTTCTCCTTACCCTTTACTTTTGCTCTTAAATTTTTTTATTCTTTCGATTTTTCGTTTCAAACACTATTCCCCCACCCTCAAGCGTATGGACTATTATCTAACATTACACTACCAATCGAATCATCTTGTTCTTTTATGCCATCCCACACAATAAGGTTGATAATATGAGCAATACATCTTACATGCAAGTACTCTCTACCACTAAAACAACCAGTTTGTTGGACCATTTTCATAAGGTGCGTACAAGCAACATCTAACATTATCAACCGTAACTTTAAAAGGTTTGTCCTCCATACCCTAAGCCTCTAAACATGCCTCAACAGCTTTACCAATATCATCAGCTTTATGACTATAAATAAGACAAATATTTATGATTTTTTGTGCATTTTCTAATCATTGTCAATGAAGTGAGCAGTGAGACACATGTAATTAATTCTTTGGATTCAAGTCCATCTATCAGTTGTCACACTAATTCTTTGACAAGAATTTCTAAACATATCTTTCAGGTTCAAATTCTCATTCAAATAAATATCATAGCAATCATGAGCAATGGTAGTACGAGAAGGAATGTGTGTTGGACATGAGTTCAAACCCCTTTACTATTTCTTCTGGAATATTTTTTTTTTGTTTTGATGAATGACAAACATGATGATTAAATTCAAGTTGATCAAAAATTTATTTTCGTATCGAGAAAAGCAAAGAGGCGTATCAAGATAAAATCAAGGCTTACCCCTACGCAGAAATTTTTTGAAGTGAAGTGAAGATTCCGAAGACCTTTTTTATTGAGTCTAGGAACTTTGTAAGGATGACAATACTTTTTGCATAAACAAATTAATTTTGAAGGATAAAAATTATTATTTTCTGAATCAGTTGAAAAATTATTTTTTCTCTGTCTAAAAATATTTTACTAAGTCCGTTTCAAAATAGTGTGTCAAAATTTCTTAAAAATATTTTTTTAGGATACACAATTTTCTTTTGGTAAGAAAAATATACTTTAAATATTTTTCGTATACATCGTTTGACACACAAAATAATTTTTGGACTCACTTTTTCTCCCCTATTCAAAATTCATTGAATAAGGGATACTTTCTCTTGAGGAGCGTTCTTTTCTCAAGCAAACAAGTATAAGCCAATTCACTTCTTATCGCAGCTGGCTTGGGCCCTTTGTGTTGCGCATTATCTCCTCCATAATCGATTATCTGCCTACATATAATCGATTAATAGGCTTTTCGTTGGATTCCCCTGGTCTGACCAATAATCAATTTTTTGTCTTCAATTAATCGATTAGTTCGGACAGAGCCGACTAATCAATTTTTAGGCCTTCCTTTAATCGATTATTTCTGTTCTTCTATTCAGGATTTTTCGCCTCTGTGTTCCGTAATTGATTTAACTATCTACGTTAATCGATTAATTTTATCTTGTGCATATCCTTAGCTTACTCCAACGGTTCTTTTTTTCTCAGCCTATTTAATCCCTCATTCTCCTTCATTTTAAGACACAATTCTTGCACTCCAATATCTTCATTGAGCTATATTCATTTCTTTCTTCCATCTTCCTCATCAAATATATAATTTTGAGAGTTAGAAATATTTTATTGAGTGTTAAAGATTTTGTCATCCATAGAGCTTTAATTCTTCAACACTACTTTGCTCAATTGTGTGAGCTTTCATTCTTGTGTTGTTAAACTCAATCTCATTTGAGTGTTGTTCTAAAGACTTGTGTGACTCAAGTCTTGTTGTTGTAAGAAAGTGAGGCTTGTGTGATTCAAGTTCTCAAGTTGTACCGGTTTTTCAAGCACCCGTTGAAGCTTGAAGATTAGTAGGACTTTCGAGAGAGTCTCTCGGAGGACTGGACTAGCCACGA